CTTTTGGGTATATATTACTTCTTTGCACAGTGATAACCACCGTTAAGATTTTTAGTGTGTTCCTCTTGCCAGTACAAAGATTAAAGATTCAAAAATCAAGCACAAAATGTTTTTCAAGGAAATGTTTGCTTTTTCAAAAAATATATTAAGCATAACCTTATCAAAGGAAACAGACATATGCTACTAAGATATATTCAGTTCATGCCATGTTTCTTCAGAAGCCTTTTAAGTCCTAGTTAAGTACAGGTATATCAAAGATGAAAAAAGCATCTGTTCACTAGGGTCTAAAGAAGATCAAACATCCTACTACACTTTGGAAATTACCTTCCCAAAGATATCTACTGCCACTTCCAGCCTTTGCAGGTGCCTGTCCCATGAAAGGCAGGTTGGTTATTCTCCTCAACAGCAATACCTGCTTCTGTCCTGTCCCTTGAAAGACTGGTGTGAGAAGTGGACAGCACACCAAAACTGCCTAGTGTTTGAGACACATGAACGTGTTTTAGCTATCCTTAAATCTACACAGAGAAAGAGCCACACACCCACCAGCAAGGGACCGTAAAGTAGGGGGGCTGCAGGGCCCTGCGAGGAGCACGAGCCGCAGGGAGGAGGGGTGGCTGTGCTCCTCAGGGGTGCTGGCAGCAGACCTGGTGCCAGGAAGCAGAGGAAGGAGCACATGGAGGGGATGAGTGGGGCCTGGACCCATAGGTGCGTGCCCCAACATCTAAGCCTCTGTGCTCCAGAGACTCTAGTCTGGCTGGTTCCCTGATGACCTTCAGTACCCCCATAAGTGTCAAGCAATTCTAGGAATTCTACCTCTTCCACCTCTTATCTATCATTTAAATGTTATGGTGGAACATACACTGCAATTGACCTGATATGTCTTTTGTTTTTCAGCTGAGCTGGAACCACAGCTTTCAAAGCAATGTCATTCCAAAGCAACACTGGGCACCCCTATACTCACCGTATTACCCAAAGACTGACATGAGCTTTCATAGTACATCATCCTAATTATCCAGGCAACTGAAAAATTTCAATCATATTTTATCAGTTTGTTCAAACAAGTCTGAAAAGTCATTTTTCACATCACTAAAATATGCCTTATTGAATGGACTGTCAAAGCAGACAGAAATCTTGCAATTGGGTACTACTGCCTGACAACCTGGCTGTATTGGAGACCATGATGCACATCATCACTAAGGATTACCAAAATCACAGAAGTAAAACAAAAATACTGCCACTCAGAGAAAAAAATAGATTATCAAAATACCAAAAGAAATTAGAAGGAGAGAAAGAAAAAGAAAATAAAATCTGCAACTGAAGTATGTGAAAGTAATATAGAATCAGTTTGGTTTGAACTTCTTTTGAAAGGAATTAGGCAAGGCTGCAAGAGTCAAAAAGGATTAACAGTGTCTTCAGGTGTAATAATTACATTTTATATCTTGTAGATTTCAGAGAGAAATAAAACTGCTTAATTTTGAAATATTTACTGCAGCTAGCAAATACAGAAAATACATGCACCAAAACCTTCCTAGATGCCAAACAGCAGCTGTACTAAACAGTGTATACAGAATGGCATTAAAGCTACAATTCTGCCACTTACCACCCTGTTTCCCACCAGTAAGTACCCGTCTAGTCACTGTGACTCCAGGGAGGTTTTAAGTCTTCTACTTTTACAAAATGTAACAAAGTTAATGCAACATCCTAGTCAAAGTGGAAGGCACAGAGGAGAAAGTAAGATAGAGTGCACGTCTTGCTTTCTTCCTGACCTCACAACTTGACATCAGACTACATATTTCTCTGCATTACAGTTTGTTGTGGAGCAGAGTAACAAAATAGGGGTGCTCTTGCCAGCTTAGCACTGAAAGCATGCTTTGCCAAGTACAGAAGTCTTGTGCATTATTCTCCTATTAAAAAAAAAACAAAACAAACAAACAAAAAACCACAGAGAAATTCCATCCTTCCAAAATGCTCATTTAGAGAAGAGCAGCAAACCCCTTTTGTACTCCACCAGCCTTCAATGCAACACAAAAAAATGGTCAAATCACTGAGCAAGGACTTCATCTTCCACCTGCAGGTTCTACACCTTCACCCAACAGGTTCCTTCAGGGTTCTTGTGACAGAGATGTTACTCCCAGGCTGCTAAGGATATGACGTTTGCTTGGCCAGAGACTTCTCTGCTTGTTTGTGGCTATCGCATTAGTCAGCCAAGTGCATTCCTGGTGGATGACTGAGGCAAGGATTTTGCTCAGTGCACAAGCACACAAGAGTTAGCAATTACCTAGATATCACTATGGAATTGCTTCTTGATGAAATGTTTTGAGCTTCCATGAGAAAATATAGGGGACAAAAAAACGGCCTTTTATTGCTTCAATCCTGATAATATCTAATCACTGACACTTCAAAGAACCGTTAAGCTTTGCTGCTACCCCTTCTGGCACGATTCTTTGCTGCTTACAATAAAATTACATTAAGCAAATACAGTACATTATCTAAAGCCATAAACAGCTTCTTTCTAAGATAAAATAACATCATCAGTCAAATATTGTACGATTCACATTAAAGGCTTTTTTTTCCCCCCATCCAGACTTCATAGCTTCTTGTGTCCTGAAGGTTCTGGATATAATTCCACTGTGATTTACAACATAATTATTTTTAGTTATTTGTAACTACTTAACATCTTATTATCATTAATATGTATTTTATCTGTTTTGGATTACATTTTCCTTCCTTATGTAGTTTTACAAAGCCTAAGTTACTCTTAACTATAGTCTATCCGAGGCTCTGAAGACAGCAACTTCACTTTACAAGACCTCCCTGGCTGGCTACCAATCAGTCTTCTATGATATGCACAGTTTTGGGTCATACAAGTCAAAACCATCCAGGTACACAAAGGTAAGCGTAAAAATCAAATTGTTGATGTTTCTTCCTATATAAGTAATTACAAATAACCATAATTATAATTCACCTGTGCAGATCAGCCCACACATGACTGCACTCAAGTCAATGGAATTCAACACCTACCAAGGGCTTCCTCTTGCTTGATGTGACATTGGAGACATGACACTGGGATATTTAGACACAAGAATTTGGATCTGTTTCCATTGAAACTGGATATGAAGAAAATTATCTACATGTACAAAGCACAAGATGAAATGAGAGAAGTGAAAGATATGCTGACTTTTCACAATGTTTGAGATTTTCTTGAAGCTGTATGCTTTCATTCCCCTACAGTTACTTTGAAGGTTTCTACAATATTTACTGACTTCCCATTTTAACAACATGCAAAAGTGTCCCAGCAACATGTTTCTGCTTCATTTCCAATACACTCATAAGATATGTTGGTTTAAAGACACTAATACAATTATAGTTTCATATGAAAAAGTTCAAATATATTTAATCTGATTAAGTACAAGCTTGTTTCTTTCTGAAAAAATTCTAGAGTCACAAGCTGTATTTTCAGACATGAAAAGTGGAGGAGTAGCAGAGTATGTTTCTGAGACCTCTGAGTACATAAGGCAAGTATGATTAAAGTCTATGTTCTTAGAAAATATCACTAGTCAGGTTGTGATGAAAAAAGAAATTAAAAAAACAAGCACTTCAGAAAGAAGATTAATATACTTGCTATTCCCAAAAAGGTGAAAGAAAAAAAAAATCCAAGAGACCACATCATTCAGCTTTCAAGCTTATGCTAAACAGATACTGGAGTTTCCTTACTCTGAATTCATAACGGTTATGAAATGCTGAAACTGCTGAAAGTAGAGGAAAAAAGTCAATCAAACAACACTGCAGGCTTGCCTTTTAGTGGAGAGAAGGCAAAAAATGTACTATGCTGTTTGAACTAACCACATAAATTATTCTGGATTTCAGCACAGTATTTTGCAGCCCATTGCCTTTCCAATCCCTTAGTATTTGGAGATGTGGACAATTAAAACACTAAAACAATTAGATGCTAATAATATTTCAAACATTAAGTCATTGAAACAATATCTAGCTGATAGGCCACATACTGCATTAAATTTTAGGTACAGGTAGACTAGATGAGATGGGTTTATCACCAGATTGAATAAGACACCACAGTCAGATATAGACCTAAACCACAGATTTGTACCAAGATCCCATCCAATCCAATCCACTAGTGACATTTTGGAGTTTGAGGTGTTTTGAGGGGGTGAGGAGGTGGAGGAGAATTTCATTTTCTTATAGTAATAAGCATGCAAGCCAGGACTTGAATAACAAGTTCAAAGCTGAACTTGTATATATCCAGAGAAGCAGAAAACTAAACATAAATAGTAAGGACCAATAATGATTTCATTTTATTCATTGTCATGTTTTTAACTACCTTCCACACTTTAAAATGCACAGACCACAAGTTTCTGTTACGATAAAACATTAACGTTACTTCTTTTTATTAAAAAAGGTTCATTCCCAAAGAACTAAATTGTTAAGAAACAACTATCCTGTCTGTTATTGTAAGACAAAGGCTACACGTGTGCTGTGGTTATGATTCTTATCTAATGCATGATATCAAATTACAGACAATTTAATTAAACAAAATATCCTTGAAAGACCACTAGCACACTTTTGAAGATGCCATCATACTTCATATCACAGCAGTAAAATAATCACTGAAAAATACCAAAATATCTCAGATGAACAAAAGCATTTAGGAATTATGTTCTTCCTAAAAATCAACTACAGACTAGAAAAAACGTGCAAGAATTAAAGGACCATTTAAACACAAAGAATCATGTTATTAAGCCTGTTAAAAAGCTGAATTTTCAGAGTATAAATGTCCATTTACTCTATATACCTCACTACCAAAAGCCTTGGGGAAAAAAAAAAAGGTAGGCTGATGACCAAAAGAAGCAACCTAGCCTCAGGCCAATTTCTGCTTTTCGGAACACCTATGTAACCACTGATGAAAGAGAAAGGAGATGTATGTGCTTATCCAGAAGAAAGAATCTGGCCTGCTGTTTAAATTGCATTTGTAAAAGAATAACTCACTGTTTAGAGACATCAGGCATTATGGTCTGTTCTTTTTTCCTTGTATCCGCTGTTGGCTCTACAGGGGTAAGTACTACAGCAGCACATGAGACAATTGACTGGTACGAGTCTTCCCGGCAAACTGCAAGGATAAAAAAAATTTCAGTGTTAAAGTTTGTATTTTAAATGTTTAAAGAAAATATATACATAACCAAGTCATACTGTGATAAGTAAAAATGCAAATCATAGACTCATGATAGAATGATTAATCAAACTTCACTGTGGTCACCTGCAACGAAAACTTCCTTGTTTTTCACATTTCCTGAAGTGTGTATTTGGCACAGATTGATACCTACCCATCATCATTCACTAAGTTTTACCTAGCACAACATCTGCTGTCAGCCTGCTCTAGCTCACTGCTGTGGCTGAGTCTTAAGAGGACTCCTATTTCCGTAAGTAATATCAAATTGCACATCTTTTTTCATCACAACTTGAAAATGAGAGTGGAAATTAAAGATTGTTTTCAGACAATCCCCTCCTCCATCTTCAAAAATATCAGACTTTTTAAAGAAATAGATTTGAGAAAATCTGATTAGTGGGGTTTCTTTGTCTCCAGCCATTATGTCTCCCTTTAATCCAAAAACGCCAAATCCAAATGGTCTAGAAACCATATCTGATATACTGATTCATGCTCTCCATTAATAAGAATTATCTCTGTATTACTGTGCTGGATGATATGACTTAGACAATATTTAGAGACAGAAGAATGTCATGTATTTCAGTTGAGCATCCAGCTGAACTCCAGACAGACAACTATCTGTTAAAAGTTATGCGTATTCTAAATTCTAAACTGCAGGCGCCATTAGTAATTTAGCACTTTGCGGTCACTACTCTTACTGATTTTGAAGGTATAAGATTTCCTTTACAGCCATGGTGTGCCATTATGAGCCAAATGAAAGCTAGAATTAACAGTTGGTTTTACCGAAGAAAACACAGTAGCTTCTTAAATTATGGTACTATTATATGTCATATATAAACCAGAAGAAATGTGGTGATCTATCTGTTAAGTATTAAGTTACACACTATTTTATATGCATAACACACAGAACTATTTTATAGAGTGTACACATGCACACACACAGCTAATAACAGTCTGTAATACAAGGATGACCATGACAAATTCTAAACACTTCAAAACCAGACAGAACCTATTTTACAAGCATATATATTTGTGCAGGATTGTGATAGCTGGGAACACTGAACTGTGGCAGTTACTTTTCAGTGAGAAACTTGTTTATGAAGATTTTCCTATCTTCCACCCTCCACAACCATGTGCCTCCTTATTGCCCACAGACAACATACGTTTTCCAGAGGAAAACCTGAATAAAACTTCATCCATATTGCCCTGACAAGGTCAAGAACAACGAACTGTGGTGTCTTATCCTGAGCACTCAAATTACATTCAGCATGTATTCATCACATATCAACAAGATAGACTGCATGGCCAGGAAATACCCTGGAGTGACAATTGGTGCTTTAAGGCAGCTAGAGAGTAGATTTTAAGGGAACAGGTCAGAAAAATGTAAAGGTCTTTCTGTTTTCAGAGCAATTCTGAGCCATTCAACAAGCAGCACAGTCAGGACACAGGCAGATTCTGTAGGAAGAAAATCTTTGTGTGGAGCGTATGTATTTATGTTTAATGCATTTGATATTCTCCGGCATTGCCAACGCTTTTGTTTTCAAATCCTAATGTGCACATCAGGCTAAGTGACTAAGACACATGAGATGACCAGTACTGAAACCTTACCTTCATTCTTCTTTGGGAATCAGCACTATTTAAAACTTTGCCACTATCATAGACACCCATCACCAAAATATGGTCATACCCAAAGAGAACATGCTCTATCGCCTACAGGTTTGCAAGCAGGACTTACAGTATAGCTTCATGCACATCAAGTTAAGGAGGGAACCAGTGCAAATTACATTGAACTACAGAGACTACATAATAAAAAAAAATAAATTAGGTGATTTTTATCCCTCTGTGTTATGTGCAATCAGTATACCATCCACTAGCAAGATGCTATTTGGTGGGCACCAAGCAATATAAAAAATAGTTTCTTCCCATTACAACCAGTGACTGAGCATGTGCAAATGAGAACACATATGACTCTTGATTTATAGTAAAAGAATTGTAAAAAGATAGGTTTGTCAAAGGGCAATACTGATATTCAGAACTTGAGTTTTTAGCTTAAATGCTGATTAAAAGAAAAAAAAAAGGAGAGTAAAGGATGAAGCAAATGTGTATTATTCTTTAAAAGATCTGTGGTCCCTCTTGAGTATCTAGATATTACTTTAGAACTTTCAAAAGGTCTCATGACTACGGAAGCATCACCAGGCAGAATTTTCCCTAGATCAGCCACTGTCCATCAGCGCAGTTACAAAGAAGGATAAAATGAAAAATGCCAAGAAGACACTGCTAATTTCCTATCCTTTACAGAGATTTCACAACTGAATAAAACTGTGAAATTGCTTTTGTTTAATAATTAATGCTATACTGGACTTGCATTACCCCCTAATTTATAGGTGAAGACAAATCCAGTGGTCAGTCAATGATCTGAGCTCACAGAATTTATTATCCTCCCATTCTAGACAGTGATACACCTTGGTCTGGCTTTTGAAAACCACTACAATTCCTCCTTTGTATCTCAAGTCTTTGTGCTTACAGTCATAAGTTATTATGGGACAATATAATTAACTAAAATGTCATGAAATAGTGACAGCACAGCAGCAAGTAATTTTCACCTACTGGAGTGTATTCTCTTATTATCTTCATAACTTGCACTGTAATAATGAGAACATGCTTGAATGTGGACCTTCAACTTCAACGTTGATGAGGATGGACACTTTTACTTAAGAGATTGTTTTGATTTTACACTTCAAAATTCTTAAGTATAACTTCTTTTATACATCTTTATTTTTTATCTAGAAGTAGTTTACATCACCCCCAAAAAGGCTCAGTAGTGATGTCCATGCATCACACTCTTCATTAATCCAGATCTCTTAGATCCTCAAAATATTACAAACGTTGGAGTATCAAACAATTACACTAAGGGATTGCCCCTTTTAGCCAGAAACCTTCTCACATGTTCACCTTGCACTTTAACAGTCAGCAAGAACTTTACAAATTTAACCTTACCACATGAATTGGCAAGGAAAATAGAGAAAAGCAGAGGTTTCAATCATCTGAATCGGTGTTTGGAAAAGTCATCAATGTAAACAGCTGCCCCAGTCTATTACATTATTCCTGATGTGAGCGTGAAAATTAATTCCACGCTCTCTCGCCCAGCCATTCAGCCAGTTTTCAATCCATCTTAAGTCTCTGCTCATCTAGCCCATACATCAGCAGCTTGTCCATGAGGATCTGAAGTCCTGGTACACAATATCCACTGCACCAATAAAGAAACCAATAAAGAAATTTTTCCCACCTATCTGCTACATTTTTACAATGGCACGCAAATATTAGGCACTTCTTGTAGGTAGAGGTTTGTTATCACACTTGCTATTGCATACCTCCAGAAGTGTGGAAAAAATTGTAAAATGTGTCTACATCAAGGGAAACAATTAGCCACTTTTATACTACCTGTAGCAATTTCTTTAAGAGACTAATATTTAGTATCTCAGAATGTGTTATACACTGAATACCTTCTGAAAAAAATGAATAATTAGCATGTGAGTTGGTATTTTTCAGTACCATTACATCTCCTTTATTCACAACTAAACCATTATGGCAACCAGCTAATAATTGTGGTGAAATAACACAACTGGAAAAACATATTTTTCTTAGTGAAATAAAAGACACCAGATGCCAACTACAAGTCACATAAAGTATAGCTCTGCAGAAAAAGAAAACAAACAGTTTAACACCATATAATACTACTACGGAAGATCTGTACTGCTTTTCAAGCTGCATAATTTCCCCTCAGATTCTTCAATTTATACTTTAATGATGCATACAGTTTGTTTTCTTCCACTTTAAAGTGTTTTAGAAGTATCCCATATAGTTATCACTGGGAGTACTGGCACAGATTTATGCTAGTTGGTTTAAACAGTCCCAGAACATCATCCACTATCAAAATAGATCTCTACATCTGGAAAAGAAAAATGTTAGGGGGTTTTGTGGTTTTCTTGCTTTTGCTGCTTTTTTCTAGAACAATGAGAATGACTAATTAAACAGTTTTCTTCTACTTTGAACCAAGCAGTGAAAAAATTTTAATTCCCTAAATAGTAGGAAGCCTTCAACACCTACTGAATGTATCCCTCTGGAAAATGAAAAGATTTTTAAGCTCTCAGGGTGTCATTTACAGCATCTCTTTCAAACACTCTTAATTGTACACTTTTCTTCCCCTTTTTTAATACATGAAAGAGAAAATCTGGTTATCACCACTCACTAACAAAAATATAAATTCTCCCTCGACACAAGATGCAAGTGATGGTTAGATGAAATTAGCAGCAAGTACTAGCTGCTTAGAAAACAGAAGGGAAATGTTCACATGCAGTGCACAACGAAGCATAAGGGATTTATGACATAGGGAGACCAAAACAATGATGTATTTGTGGATTTAAAAAAGTTGAGCACTTATTCTGACAGTTCAAAGTATTTACACTTCTTCCTGTGAAGTTTAAAATAGTCAGCCCCCATCATTCAAGAGACAAATCAAGTCCAGAAAGAACTTCTGGTTTATACCAAAAAAACCTTCTGCTTTGGTAAAAAAAAAAAAAAACGGCAATCCCCCAGAAGCACGGATAGTGCTAAATACTTTCCCCTGAAATATCCATCAACCGGGGACTGAAGCACATGGGGGCAATGTCTGGATCCCAAGTATCCAATTGCACATTTTTTCTGCTACTGAAGGCCAGAAGATATGTTTTAATTACTCCAGAGCACCAATTCTCAGTGCAGGGATTTACATTTTGGCACACTGCCTCCAAAACGGGGCTCTGCCATGTTAAGGCTCAGGAAATGAGCCACCCTCTGAGGATCTCTGAACAAAGCACAAGAGCTCCAAGATATGCAAGCCATACACAGGTTCCTCAGCTAAGGGAAATGCAAGAAAAAGAACTGTTATATGTGAGAGAGATTTT